TTATTTCTAAAAATAATAAAGTAGGGATACAAATAAATAAAAGAAATAAAAAATAAATAGGAATAATATCCAACAAATGGATTATCCAACATACATTTATTTATTTATTTATTTGTATCCCATCTTTATTACTTTTACAAATAACTCAAGGGGGCAAACATATCCAACCTACCTTACTCCTCCTATTTTCCCCATAATACCTGTGGGGTGTTTTGGGCCGAGAGAGAAAATGAATGGCCCAAGGTCACCCCACCAGCTTTCATCCTAAAGCAGGATTAAAACTCACAATCTCCAGTTTCCAGCCTGCTACCTTAAACACTAGATAAACTAATATATGCAATATTAGTTGTACTAACTAAACCAATTCTAGAGATTCTGTCAGTTGAGCCTATCAGTTTGGGATCAAGTCCTATCAACTTCAGATACCAGTGGCCATTTACAAGGGAATAGAAAACTTGCAGTCCAAAATAAGTTGATGCAATCAGTTGTTTGCTCTTGCTCTAAGTTTACAATCAGACACTATAGGTTTCTTTTTCCTTACAAAGATCCTACACAATGATCTTCTTAGTACTTCATAATTCTACTCTTGTAGTCAGCCACTGAATTGATAACATAGGTAATCTTGATACCTTAAATCCAAGGGCCTCCGTCAGTTCCTCAGCCTTGCTATCCCGAGAACAATTCCCTGCATTGGTTACAAATGCAACTGGCACATGGAAGTGGCCCTTCACATTGGTTAGTTTCTGGAATGCCTTCTTCGCAGCAGGAATGACTAACCGGCCCCGTAAAAGCACTCCATCAATATCAAAGAGGAATCCAAATGAAGGAGATGTCAGCTGTAGTGGCAAAGATTCAAAAGGGATTGGATTATGTGCAATGTTTAATTTTAAGAACAACAGTGAGACTGAGTTGCATTAATAGCTTTATCAAGACTACGTTTCCAAGAAGAGATAAACAAAGGCAAGTGAAACATTTCCAATAATTTATTTAATTAATACATTTTAACCATTCTCTTATCATATGTTCGAGGTAGCAATAAAGAATGCTGCTTAAAGTTTACACTTAAAACTCGTGCAGTCAATAAAAAGCTGATGTAGAAAGCATCCCTGATTATTAACAGTGGCTCCTCAAGAAACAATTCATTTCACAAGGTTTCCAAAGAATTGGGCTGTACTTGATTTTTTTAAAAGTCATGAATGAGATACATATGCTAAGCTCTAGTACAGTGATGGCGAACCTTTTAGAGACCAAGTGCCCAAACTGCAACGGAAAACCCACTTATGCATTGTTGGGTGCCGGGTGGGTGTGGCCCATTGGCTGGGTGTGGCACATTGGGTGGGCGTGGCTGCGATGGTAACGGCAGACTGGGTGGGACTAAAAAGTTCAATCAATTCCAACTTTGCAAGATCTTTTTCCACGAGAAGTTGAAATTGACTGATTGATTGAACCTTTTTTTTTTGTACACGGTGACGGAGGCCTAAAGCGACAAGGTTTTATAAAACCCAGCTGAAGGCCTAGGACTGGGGTGACGGCGCGTGTGCCCACAGAGAGGGCTCTGAGTGCCGCCTCTGGCACCCGTGCCATAGGTTTGCCACCACTGCTCTAGTAAATTATTCCACAAACCGGGCCCATCATTGAAACGTTCATGTTCACAGTATGGTTGGGGACCTCAAACTATTATATCAATAGGTAAGAGACTTTGTAAGAAAGCCACTTGGAGATATCTATATAGTAACTCCAGAAATCTGTATAGTAATTCCAGAAGCGAATGTGGACATGAAAATAAAAATTAAAAGTTTTCATTTGTCTTCCTAGCAATATTTCTTCAGTTTAGTGCTCCTCAGCTCCCGTCAACAGGGAAGAACAGCTTCCTATTCCCCACAACCAGGTCACCAAGTGGGGTGGGTGAGCAGAGGACCCGAGGGCCACAGGAAGGTCAAGGAACATGGTCTGCTGACTCTTGAAATACAGATCTGGGGAATACATCTGACAGCGTTTTACAAGATGATCTTCCATACCCAGTAACCTTCATACTACTACAATTGAGAATCACAGTCACAGCAGGACAAGGAATCTGGGCACCAGAATCACCTTCAACTGCTCAGGCCACTCTTAAGGCCAGGTGGATGCACCTGTAACAAGGCAGACTAACCCAGTTACCCAGAGTTAACCATTCCTTTCCGCCCATCTTGCCACAAAAGTGAATTTTAAGCCAATCCAGTTAATACAGGTAGTCCTCGACTTACGACCACAATTGAGCCCAACATTTCTGTTGCTAAGCGAGACAGTGGTTATTAGGTGAGTTTTGCCCCATTTGATGACTTTTCTCGCCATGGTTGTTTAAGTGAATGAAGGCACTTGTTAAATTAGTCGCACGGTTGTTAGGTGAACCTGGCTTCCCCCTTGACTTTGCTTGTCAGAAGGCTGCAACAGGGGATCACGTGACCCCAGGACAAAGCAACGGGCATAATAAATGTGAGTCAGTTGCCAAGCGCATCTGAATCCCCGTGACCATGGGGATGCTGGTGTTAAGCGTGAAAAAAACGGTCCTAGGTAGGGTTGCCAGGTGTCCACTATTTGAGCGGACAGTCCACTTTTTTCACATTATGTTCACTATTTTTTTTCACAAAATAGGGGACATTTTTTTTTATTCAAAAGCTTTATGATGAAATGGTACGTAATCTAAAGCTGTACAGTCTACTTTTTTTTACTACTTAACCCCCCCCCCCCCGCTTGTCCACTATTTTTTGGAAGCAGACCTGGCAACCCTAGTCCTAGGTCCGTTTTTTTTCAGCGATGTTGCTGTAACTTTGGTCACTAAACGAACTGCTGCAAGTCGAGGACTACTTGAAAATGGAAGCGCTTCGTTATACCCGGTCAAGGAAAGCGTGCCACGGGGAGGCCCCGCTGGCTGTGTGAGCGCAATGGCGAACAGCGCTCGCACGCATTTGGAGGTCACCAGACCGAGAACCACGCTTACAACGCCTGGGCTTCAGAGGGATCCCCTTCCTGGCCACCGAACCCCCCCCCCCCCCGTGCTCGAAAGAGAAGCGGCTGGAAGCGAGCGCGTTTGCCCGGAGGTGGCGATGAAACCCGGCGGGCCAAGGCGAAAGAGCTCGGCTCCTTTTTGCCCGGCTGGGTCTCCTTGCAAAGGTCACCGGCCAAGACAAACCCCAACGCCCAAGCGCTCGGGAGGACGACCGGGGGGGGGCTCCGCTCACCTGATGGAGCCCGGAGGCTGCGGTTGCAAGGCTGGAGAAGCGGCGGCCAGCCCCGGCCCTGCTCTGCCCCGCGCCGGCTCGCAGCGCCCTTCCCAGCGCGGCTCTGCTCGCAGGGCGCCAGCAGCGCAAAGCCATCCGCCCGCCCGCCTCGCTTCCTGCCCCGGCCACCGTCGCCCGCCCGCCCGCCCGCCTGCCGGGCACTGCCCGCAGGAAGGGGGGAGCCTAGGGGCAGCCAATCTCGGCCAGATCACATGGACCGCAGAGAGCCGGCGGCTGCTGGGAGGAGCGAGGAACTACAGTTCCCAGGTTCCGCTGCTCGCGGGGTGGGGGGGAGGGAGGGGGAGGTGGGCAAGGTTCTCTCCTGAAGACCCCCGAAGCGACTCCTTTTTTAAACACGCCAGGCAGGAACACCCGCGAAAGGGCTTCGCAGAACGAGATCGATCCAATCCAGCCACTCACTCGTGATCAATCCAAAGGAGCCCACCCTACGAGGCTGCGTCTGAATCACCGGGTTCACCCAGCCTCAGGGGTAGGCAACCTTGGCTCTTTTATGACTCGTGGACTTCAACTCCCAGAATTCCTGAGCCAGCACGGCTGGCTCAGGAATTCTGGGAGTTGAAGTCCACGAGTCATAAAAGAGCCAAGGTTGCCTACCCCTGACCCAGCTGAATAAAAAACAGGGTCGGTCAAACTTGGCAACTTTAAAGATGGGTGAAACCGCTGCCCTGCTGGCTGGGGATTTCTGGGAGTTGAAGTCCAGTTAAAGTTGCCAAGTTTGAGAAATTCTGGATTAGAAGGAGCAGCTGCGGGTCAGCCCGAGGAAGGGTGCAAAGGGTTGGCAGAGGAAAAAAAAGGACGGCGGAGAGACGCGCGGCATCTTTGACAACTAAGGGCCACCCGCAAATATCCTCTGGAGGAAGAAAGAGATTTATTTATTTTTTTTGCTCAAGAAAATAATGCATCTTTTTTCCGGATCGGTGTTGAAACATGTTTTCCCCCACCAAAAATAAAGGTGGAGAGACTAGTCCAGGGGTCTTCAAACTTGGCCCTTTTATGACTTGTGGACTTCAACTCCCAGAATTCCTCAGCCAGCGTGCTGGCTGAGGAATTCTGGGAGTTGAAGTCCACAAGTCATAAAAGGGCCAAGTTTGAAGACCCCTGGACTAGACCAATTTTTTTTTCCAAGTTCTCCTTATTCCCCGCCTCCCACAGTTCTGCACAACTCAACAACCAGCGCACGACCAGGCGTTGCTCATCACAAAGGAGACACTATTCCGTTTTTCAGTGACACCCCCCAGAAAGCAAGCGACGGTCTTTATCGACACGAAACTGAGCAAAATCTTCGACAGCCTCAAGTCCAAAGGGCTTTCACGGGTTTGTGCCCGATTCATCTGAAAGCGCAGGCGCCTACAAATTAGTCTTCGAATTATTTTTCTGATGCATTTTGGAGCTTGTAGTTCTAACGTCCTTCAACTCTATACGTTCCTGATTGGATAACCCCAAACTACATCTCCCAAAATGCAAAGCTCTTCCGGAAGAGTTCAGACTATAATTAGTTGTTTACGTAGAGGTGTTTTGGACCGTTTGCTCTTAATGCTGGCGGCAATATAAATTACAGTACTAAATTTCAGAAATCTAATCGTGGTTCAGATTAAAAGGAAGGTTTAGGATCTAGGTTTCACAGTAAACAAAAAGCCAGGAAGCATACAGTAATATGATTTTTGTTTTTCTCTTCTCACCAATTAAAATTCAAAATATGAATAAATTATTTGGGCAGGAAAAAAAGTGGCATTTGTTGTTGGGATGTGTCTTATATTTGCTGAAGATTTCAAAAGACTCACAGTAACTAGAAGATAAGTTTTCAATAAAATGTGTATTTTCAGTAAAATAACACTGACTATTAAAGAATAGCTCACTTTTCTTTATTATCAAATTCATCTGGGTAGTGTTGATATCTGAAGCAATGACTAATAATAATAATAATAATAATAATATAATAATAATAATAATAATAATAATAATAATAATAATAATAGAGTTGGAAGGGACCTTGGAGGTCATCTAGTCCAACCCCCTGCTCAGGCAGGAAACCCTATACCATTTCAGACAAATGGCTGTCCAGTCTCTTCTTAAAAACTTCCAGTGTTGGAGCATTCACCACTTCTGGAGGCAGGTTGTTCCACTGATTAATTGTTCTAACTGTCAGAAAATTTCTCCTTAGTTCTAGGTTGCTTCTCTCCTTGATTAGTTTCTATCCGTTGCTTCTTGTCCTGCCTTCAGGTGCCTTGGAGAATAGCTTGACTCCCTCTTCTTTGTGGCAGCCCTTGAGATATTGGAACACTGCTATCATGTCCCCCCTCGTCCTTCTCTTCGTTAAACTAGACAGACCCAATTCCAGCAACTGTTCCTTATATGTTTTAGCCTCCAGTCCCCTAATCATCTTTGTTGCTCTTCTCTGTACTCTTTCTAGAGTCTTTGTAGCAAAAAAAAAAAAAAGGTGTAGCAAGGAAGGTCATAAAATGGGGAGAACTCATTTAAGAACTGTCTCACTTAGCAATAGAAATTTTGGGTTCAATTGTGCTTATAAGTCGACTATATTTAACCGACCCAACTATATTTTAAAAAATGAAGAGACTGAATAAAATCCCTCCAATCTCCCAACACTGGGTTGGTTCACCAGAGGCAGGAGTCTGGATTTCACACACTTGTGCAAGCACGGAGGTGAGCAAAGCAAGAGCCAAGGAGTCAGGAGTAAGTGAGGATATCATACGTGCAGAGTCAATCTCAGGAGCAGACTGCTTCAGTCACTCAATTGCCCCCCCCCCAATTTCCTGGCAATTCCTCCTGGGATCTCTTCCTTCTGCTGTAGTGTGCAACTCACAAGTAAATAGCAAGATATTGAACTAAGCAGCAAACTTAAGGGAAGATTGGCAACAGCTGTGCATGCCAGGCAGGGAGGCAATCTAAGCCTCTCAGAAACAGTTTTCCCTTGAGTAAGTAAATAAGCAACTTGAGCCTTTGCATTCTGTGATTCTTGCCTGGGATCCAATTATGCATGACACTGGCATGTTAATTAATACTTTGCTTCTCCCTGGACTTGGCATCGTAAATCTTCGGCTTGACCTTGGACAGCTGGACTTTGAATTCACCTTTTGGAACGGGGATCCATCTCAGGGTGGGCACAGGAGGTCCGGGCTGGGCACTAGCAGCAACAGCTGCACACCTGTCTTTCTACAGATACAGCAGCCCAGGGGGCTCTAGGTAGAAGCAGAATCAATCCACAAAGCAGGTAAGGATGGAGGAAGGAGGCAAGGAAAAGAAGTTTTATTCTTTATTTTTAGTTTAATTGTTAACACATGTACAGGACAACACATGAAATGCAATAATTTTGTAACTTCTGTCTTATATTTGAGCTGGAATGTTCAGGGGTTCCCCAAGACCTGAAAAAATGTTTTACGGGTCCCTCTGGGCTCAAAAGGTTGAAAAAGTTTGCTCTAGACCAGGGGTGTCAAACTGCTGGCCTGTGGGCCGGACGCGTCATCCGGAAGCCGTGCCCACCCCATTGCCAGCAATGGCAAAACTATCCCAATATGTTGTGCGACGTAATGTGATGTCGTGAGTTTGACATGTCTGCTCTAGACTAGAATATATAATTTGAATTAATTGAGATTAAACTCAAATGGCTTATATTTTTTGTGTTGTTTTGAGGACATTTTTAAATTGTCAGTTTTAACCTAGTTTTAGGTGCCTAGAGTACAGTACAGTACAATATAAATTAGTACTTTGCTGTTGGCCAAGTGTTTTTAGAAGCTAGTAAGGATAAGTCTCATGAATAAACCTTTGCTCCTTCATGTGAAGAACTATAGTAAATTGATTATGTGTTATTAACTTGGTGTCAACTCTTAGGAACACATATATAGAGTTAAAGAACAAAATAGTGAATGCCAAATGGGAACAACTGATAATATTATTGAAAACTAATGATATTTCTGTGGAAAATGGAAATGCTAGTAGCAAATTTACAACTTAATCAGAAAAGTTATATAAATATTCATTTTACAATAAAATATTGTATGTTACTTGCAAAACAGGTGCTCAAAAGGAGTTAACACATTTTAGTTGTAAGAATTTATCCAAAGTTAAGCCCTTCGAACGTCTTAGTGAATAAAATGCTTTGAAGCACCATTTTGCATCTGATTACTCAGATGAAAATCCTTCTCAATTCAGTGGGCTTCACTCTCTGTGTGTGGCATAATAAACCGCTGAAAGTAATGGGATTTAGCATATACATGCTTGCACTATACTTTTGCCTTTTAAATCCAAGTGTATATCTGTGACCGACACACATATTGAATTATAAATATTTAATTGAATGGTGTTTATAAAGTTATAGAAACCGCACAGAATAATTTCCTATCGAAAGCACTGCCAACTTTAAATGTTATATAGATGAAGAATAAAAGTCTTCAGCAGGGTGTGAACTTTCTCAGAATTCTGTTAAAATTGCCAAGGTTGAAAAACAATGGTTTACAGAGTAAATTAGGATTCTTTTCCAGTATTCTATTTTTTTACGACATGGATTTTTTTATTTACTCTTTTTATTGCACATATTTTCCAACTCCCTTTTTTGTCATCTCTAGCAGGAAAAGAAACCTTTTATCAATACTTCCATAATTCCAGGCCTTCAAACTAAGCTATACAAATTTAATCGATCCTTGGTATGGGTTCCAGATGCATACTTCCTTCCTATAAAATCAATCCATTTAACACACACTGCCTCAAGCATTTACTGCCTATGGATCATATCAATATAAAAAAAATGAAATTGGCATGGGGTAACTCTCCTTGGATTATCTCAAAATATTCTGGAAGGATTTCTTTGATGTTCCAAGGAATACGTAGACACTTTTGTACTTTCAGGGTCAGACTAATTTCATTCCCATTTCTTCACATGGTTAATATAGAGTTCAACTTTCTTAGTAATGGAGGTCAAAGCCATTCAGCAAAGGAACATTATTCTCTACATGAGGATTTCATTTGAAGGAGCTCGCACAAATCATATTCACCCTGAAATCAGGCCGCAGAACAAGCTATTTATAATACTGGGGAAAGGAGACTGCATTTATTTATTATCA